TCCCTCTGAAGGTTCTCGGGAAGGATCTGCTCCAGGCCTCTCTCCTAGGATCTGACGGCCCCAGGAGACCCTTGCCTTGTAGATGACCTTCTTCTTCCTGTGCCTTCATGTGGTCTCCCCTTTATACACGTCAGTCTGCATGTCCAAATTTCCCCTTTTCATAAGGACACAGTCATATTCAATTAGGGCCCACCTTAATTACTTCATCTTAATTTGACTGTCTGCAAATATCCTATTTTCAAATAAGGCCATATTCACAGGTACTGGGGGTTAGGACTTGAATATATCTTTTGGGGGGGACACTGTGCAACCCCATAACACCATCCCAGGCTTGGGTCCTGCGTCCTGCATAGTTGCCAGGAGACCTGGACTGGACCACTGGTGAGCTGCGTGGATCCCTTTCGGGAAGAGCAGAGAAGGGCCTAAGCTGAGGTTCTGTCTTCCTCTTCTCTGACTCTACCTGGGTTCTCTCTTGGCTCCTTCAAGAGGCTTCAAGCTAACTTCCCATAAGAGGAGAGTGGGAGATATGTCTTTCTCAGAAAGAAGGACAAAACAGTTGAAAAAAGAGGGCTACTCCACAGAAGAGGTTAGAGCTCCTTCCCGCGTGACCTGGTAAACATTTGGGCAGTTCCCCCAGATAGAAATTTGGGAGTTACTTTTTTTTTTTTTTTGGCTGCACAGTGTGGCGTGCGGGACCTTAGTTCCCTGACCAGGGATTGAACCCGTGCCCCCTGCCATGGAAGCTCTGAGTCTCAACCACTGGACCACCAGGGAAGTCCCTTGGGAGTTATTCTTGATTTCTTCCTCAAACTCAAGTCCCATCCATCTCCCTCCCTCCCTCCCTCCCTCCTACAAAGCTGACAGGGTTTGCTTCACAACCAGGGCCCTATACTTAGAAGGGCTTCACATTTGGGGTGTACTATTCTGGGATCACAGTCTTGAGATGCTTAGTCATTTTATCTTTGAGCGTGTGTTTTGTACACAAAGTGTGATGGGACAGTGGTGTATGTGCCCACCTCCCCTGGACAGGTTTTGGCTCCCTGCTGCTCACTACCTGCTGGTGCCCTGGGCCCTGTCTGGCATCTCCCCTCTCATCCCATCCAGTGACGCCTGCCACCCTGTGCCCCTGGTGGAGGCCTGGAGCAGGGAGGGTCAGGGTCAGGCATGGTATCCTGCAGTGTCTGGGCTGGGGTATGGCAGTGGCCACCCCACCTGGGCTGGCAGCCCCGCGGCACTGTTTAGTGGGTGACTAGGTGGGGGCCAGACGGTCTCCCCCGCGGCAGGCAGCTCGTGGAGTTATTGCACAGAGGTTGCAAAACCTTTGAGGGTCACTTGTGGATCTGCAGGCCTGTGGTAAAGAAAGATGCCCGATTTGGCTTCCTTGCCCCGCTCTGGGGTATGAGGCATCTGGCAGCATGTGGGAGGGCGACCCTGTCAGGCCAAGGCTTTGCACAGGTGTACCCCCCCCACACCCCCAGGTCATTGTGGAGCAGCCCCTGGGTGCCTGTGAGCTTCTACACTTACCTTGCGCCCTGTGCCAGGGAACATTCCCTCAGATTCTTTCATGCCTGGGGTACCTTCTCTTCCTCCTTCCAAACTTCCTGAGCCTGGCTTAGGTCCCTTTCTCCTCATCAGCTTCAGGCACCTTCTGGGAATGAGCCACGAAACATAAATTGCGAAACTTCAGTGATTCTGCCTCAGAGTTAAATGCTCTGATATTTGTGTTTACAGTCGGCATTGTACGATATAAAGGGGAGTGGTAAAATTCATGCTAATGATTAAAATTTTTGTTTTATTTTGAATACATTAAATAGGAAACAAAAAATATGGCAGTGACTGTAGTTAGCGCTGCTGTGTGGTGTATCTGTAAGTTGCTAAGAGAGTAGATCCTAAAAGCTCTTATCACAAGGAAAAAAACCATTTTTTTCTTTCTTTCTTTTTCCTTTTTTGGTTTTATGAGGTGATGGATTACCGTGATAATCATTTGGCAGTGTATGTAGGTCAAGTTAATTATGCTGTACACCTTAAATTTCTGTGCTATATGTCAATTATATCTCAATAAAATTGAAAGAAAAAAAGTTTAAAACTCATAACAAGTCTAGAGAGAGGGGGAGAGAGACTATGGAAGAAAGGAAAAGACTTTATATTTTAGTACCTTTAATGGATGTTTCCCGTGCTTTCTGAATAAGTGCCCTCCCATTTTCATTTTGTGCTTAGCCTTGCAAATTATGTAGCTGATCTCGGAGCCAGGTATGCAGGGACCAGGTAGTACCAAGAGCTGGAAATTCAGAAGTGGCCAAAGCAAAGCCCCTGTCCTCATAGAGCTTGTAGGCCAGTGGAGGAAACAAGATGGTAACTAGGTCACGAAAGAAGATAAAGATGAAAGTGAAATAAGATTCAGTTTACGATAAGTGCTCTCAAGGAAAGCAGCAGGATGACGAGACAGAGCATGATGAGGGAGGTTACCTGAGATGGAGGTCACGGGAGGCATTTACCTCCTTTTCTCTTCACCACTGTCACTGCCTCCTGGGCTCTCACAGATATCCCTGACTTTCAGTGCTCCCCTTAAATCCAGCTACTATACAGTCATATGACTCATCTCTCTAAACAAACTCTGACCATTTCACATCCTTGGCTGTTTCCCTATCACCTCCATTCTCTTAGTGTGGAACCTGAGTGCATTCACGCTTACTTCTTCAGGTTTACTTCTTAGCACTCCTGCTGCTTCTATTTTTTTTTTTTTTTTTTTTTTTGCGGTACGCGGGCCTCTCACTGTTGTGGCCTCTCCCGTTGCGGAGCACAGGCTCCAGACGCGCAGGTTCAGCGGCCATGGCTCACGGGCCCAGCCGCTCTGCGGCATGTGGGATCCTCCTGGACTGGGGCACGAACCCGTGTCCCCTGCATCGGCAGGCGGACTCTCAACCACTGTGCCACCAGGGAAGCCCCCTGCTGCTTCTTTGCTTTAATAACATTGAGCCCCTTGCAGGCATACGTGTAAGCTATACTGATTTTCACCTTCCTGCCTTTGCTCCTCTTTTTCCAGCCACCTGGAATGTACCCCCTGCCTTCCTTCCCATCTTTTGTGACGGACCTACTGTCACAATAACAATAATATTAACATCAACTATAATATTCATAACATTATCATTATTATTTGCAAGATGTCATGGGAGGGGGGTCTAGAAAGGAGTAACATTTAATGTTATAATAAATGACATTTGAATGTTAATAACATTTAATGAGTGCTATGTTCCAGGCCTTGTTCTGAGCGCTTACATGTATTAACTTATATAGCCCTTGTGGACAGAGAATGTCACCTGCCATATCAGTAAACAAAGAATGTTGTGGCCATCAAGGCTTCAGCCACTGCAGCCGCCCCCTCCCTTCCCTCCCTTTCCCCCCCACCATGGTAGACTCTGAGGGGTTTCAGGATGGAGAACACAGGATACCAGCCCTAGATAGTTAAGGTGCACATCAAAGGAATGATTCAGTGAGCCCAGACTCTTGCATCTTCCCATACATGGAAAAGTGCTAAATTCATGAACTTGAGAGGTCTGGTTTTTCTTTAATTTACAGTAATCTTTTGATGTTCCGACTGCCTCAGTTTTTTTTGGAAAAACTTCTATATATTCTGGCTCCTCGCTTACCCCTTTGGAGCAGTGCCTCAGAACTATCTGAGAGACTGTCTCCCAGGCTTAAGTCCTCAGTACGTCCACCGAATAAAGCATAATTCTTAACTATAGGCTGTGCATTTTTTTCAGTTGACACTCTCAGAATAATCCTATGAGGTAGGTGTTATTATCCACTGCCTCATTTCACTGAGGCACAGAGAAGTTAAGTGACTTGTCCAGGGTCACACACTGAGTAAGTAGAGGAGCTGGGATTCAAATCCAAGCAGTTCAGAGCCATCACTCTTAACAAAAATGCTATCCTGCCTTTATCCTTACTGCATCTTTTCATTGCACATTGTATTTGGAATGGTTTCTTTGCATGTCTGTGTCCCCAAAAGACTTTAACTCTTTGAGGGAAAGGATGGTATTGTACTAACCCTTGTATCCCCAGTCCCTGGTACATAGTAGGCTTTCGATAAATATTGGTTGAACTATTAAATTTGAATTGGATTAGCCTTGAATGAAGGATCATAAGATCATGAAGATATGATCACTTTACTAAGTTCAAGAACCAACATCTTAATGTATTAGTACCCCTAATAACAATACTCCCAGAAGCAAATAAATAAATGCTTATTTGTGAGAAATGAAGGTATAGATGTAGACATAATCTATTCATTTGCTGGTAAGGATTGTCTTTAGCCAACTTGGAGAAAAATAATCAATACAGTTTGCACTTGACTATTTATATTACTTTAAGAAAGATTTTTGGTCAATACTGCTTTTGTTAGAGGTTCAGAACATTTCTCTTTCTAGCCCTACCCTGTAAGTTCACTGCTTTGTTGTTTCTGACTGGGTCAGTGGAGTGTGGTTTTTCCTGCATTTCTGACTCTGTCCCACAGCTTCCTCAGGGCCAGGCCCATGGCTGTGCATTTCAAGTGACTACATAGCTAGGCTTCTCGGTGGTGGGATTGGAAGGAGATTTGGTATCCTGGCTGCCCTCCCAAATCTCTCCTCCACCTTTAGGAAGATTTTTCTTTATCATTCCCTGCTAAGAGGCAGCAACAATAAATATGTACATACCTAACTTGGGATGAAGCATATTAGCACTAGCTTGTTCATCATTCATTCATTATTGAGACCAGTGGGCCTTACAAGTTTGTGTCCGCTAAGGGATGAGATATAGGCTGATACTGAGAGGGGCTCAGTGTGGCAGAGGAAGCCACAGGAGAATCGTAGCCAGGGTATAAGATTCATTATTTCTCTACGATTTTGCTTGGGATTGCTTCTGCCAGTAGTAAAATTGTAAGAGGTGCACTGTGGACTACAAACAAAAAAAATCACCTGATGTTAGCCAATAACTTTTTGTATTTTGTATTTTGGTTGTAGAGACTGTGAATACAACAATATCATTCTCCTTCAAGGAAATACGATTTTCTAAGGTATTGTTCAAGTCATTTTGTACTTCCTTAACCTTTTGCAGTAACAGATGTGTTAAGAATTTGAAACAAGCGATTCACAGCTTCTAAAAATATCGATTCAAGATTAAGATGTTCAAGGCTTTTTTTCACCTCTTTTTGGTTTTCGATATTTTGCTCTTTCTTCTTTCTGTGGAATATGGAAAAAATAGAAAACTTACACCAAAGAAAGCCCTTTTTAAATTTTATTTTTTCCTTCCAACATACCTTGCTAAAAGTAATGCTCATTGTTAATATGTTGAATGATCTTTGGGTGAAAGCACTGTAGGACCATTGGGTATAACTCAGTGACTGCCTCCATGGATAATAATGATGTAATTTTAGATATTTGCATTAGAAATGCAATGAAATTTTGCACGTTTCACTTCTGGTAACTATTTTAAGATAAACATTAATAATGCATATTCTTTACCTATTTTGTTACAAATTATATCTAATGTTTGAAGATTTCATACGCTAGGCTAGAAAACTGAGAAAGTAAAAACCAATTCAATTTAAATGGCTTTCTCCTAGTAAGATAAAATTCTTATAAAAGTCTTACAAAATAGAAGCATCTAACATTTTATATTACTTGTATTTCTTACTACTCGTTTTAGGGACGATACAATTGTATTACAGAAGCCATTGCTGGGAACACTGAAGAAAGGCTCCTTTGCTTGAACTTTACCATCATATACCACCCTGATTTCAGTTAGAATAAATCGAGTATACGTTTTTATTTTTCAAAGGTTTCATTCTTCATTTAAAATCTTTTTTTTTAAATTTATTTATTTTATTTGTTTATTTTTGGCTGTGTTGGGTCTTCTTTGCTGCGCGCAGGCTTTCTCTAGTTGCGGCGAGCAGGGGCTACTCTTCGTTGCAGTGCACGGGCTTCTCATTGCAGTGGCTTCTCTTGTTGTAGAGTACGGGCTCTAGGCGTGCGGGCTTCAGTAGTTGTAGCACGTGGGCTCAGTAGTTGTGGCTCGTGGGCTCTAGAGCACAGGCTCAGTAGTTGTGGCGCACGGGCTTAGTTGCTCTGCGGCATGTGGGATTCTCCCGGACCAGGGCTCGAACCCGTGTCCCCTGCATTGGCAGGCAGATTCTTAACCACTGCTCCATCAGGGAAGTCTTTTCACTTAAATTTTTTTTTGCACAGTGTATTAGTTTGCTAGGACTGCCATAGCAAATACCACAGACTGGGTGGCCTAAACAACAAATTTATTTTTCACAGTTCTGGAGGCTAGAAATCTGAGATCAAAGTGTCAGCAGATTTGGTTCCTTTTGAGGCCTCTCTCCTTGGCTTGTAGATGGCCTTCTCCTCCCTGTATCTTCACATTATCTTCCCTCTGTGAGTGTGTCCTAGTCTCCTCTTCTTATAAGGACACCAGTCATATTGGTTTAGGGCCCCCCTGAGTGACATCATTTTACCTTAATTACCTGTTTAAAGACCCTGTCTCCAAATCCAGTTGCATTCAGAAGTACTGGGGGTTAGGGCTTCAGCATGTGAATTTTGAACGTTCACAATTCAGCCCAGAGCACACATAGACACATAGCCCAGAATACAGCCTCTTCAATCGGTCGACTTCTCTCCATTTCCTGCCTCTACTCTGGGACAAGTTGCCAGCATTTCTCCCCTGGACTCCTCTGCTGCCTCCTGACTGATTGTCCTGCACCTGGTCAGGTACCTCAGGTAAGTCATCCTCCACAAAGGTAGTTTCAATAATACTTTCAAAATACAGGTCCTGTCACGTCACTGCAGTGCAAATGGAACAAAACAAAACAAAAACAAACAAGGCCCTTCCTGTGGCTTTTGATGCCTTTCGGGATAAAGCTGGAATCTTTCGGAGAGTATGCCAGGCCCTGCCCACCCTTTCCCTCTCCAGCCCCTTTTCCCACCACCCTCCCCTTGCTCTCTGTGTTCCGGAATGTGCCATACTCCCTCCTACTCCAGGACCTTCACCCACACGGTTCCCTCTACCTCAGCCCCATGCCTCCACATTACCCGACCTTTACCCCTTATCAGTAACAGGTGTGGATCTTCACTGGCTCAGGTGCTACTTTCCCAGGGAATTATCATCAGGTAGCATGAAGCACACCTCTTACACTTTTTTTTTTTTGCGGTACGCGGGCCTCTCACTGCTGTGGCCTCTTCCGTTGCGGAGCACAGGCTCCAGACACACAGGCTCAGCGGCCATGGCTCACGGGCCCAGCCGCTCCGCGGCATGTGGGATCTTCCTGTACCGGGGCACGAACCCGTGTCCCCCGCATTGGCAGGCGGACTCTCAACCACTGCGCCACCAGGGAAGCCCCTCTTACACTTTTGATACTGGACAGAGGCAGTCCTGAGTAAAATTCTGCAGAAACTATATAACATGGAGCCAGGCTTCCAGTCTCCTGTGGCTGTCTTGGTCCCCCAGATCCCTTTCCTCCACCCACCTTTACCTCATCCAGGCAGGGCCAGCTTTCTTTGTGATATGCTTTTGTCTACCTGTGTCCCTTCCTTCCAGTTCTTGACACTCCTTTTGTCATTATATCAATCATCTGTCACAAGACTCAACTCCATGATCCCAGGCAGGGTAGTCAGCTCAGTTTTGCTCAGCACTCTTGACCCAGCACCTAGCATAGTACTTAGGCTTGAATTTGCTCTGAATCCATATTTGTTGAATGGATAAACAAACATTTTCTTCTTAGAAAATATTCAAATAATAGGTTAACTATAGAAAGCAATATTCCTGCAATCATTCAACTAGTATTTATTGAGCTCCTGCTATATGTCAGGCCCTGTTCTAGATGCTGGGGATACAGCATTTAACAACCCAGGCAAGACATATCCCTGCCCTCATTGAGTTTATATTTTTGTGGGAAGAGACTGACAACTAAATTACTTTAGAAGTGAGCATGCTTTGTAAGTGCCATGAAGAATAATAAAGCAGGGCAGGGTGTAGGGACCCGGGTGAGGAGGTAGTGATGGTTGTGCTTTCAGATAGAGTGGTCAGGAAAGGCCCCACTGAGAAGATGATATTTGAAAGAGTTGAGGGAGCAGGCCATGTGGCTTTCTGGGAGTAAAGGCATTGTAGCTGAGAGAACAGCTGATGAAAAGACCCAGGGGTCAAGGAAGAACAGGGAGCTGTTCAGATGAAGTGAGTGAGGGGAGATGAGGTCAGAGAGGTGTATGCGTTGGCGGTGGGTAGGCACGTGCGGTAGAGTTTGATAGGCCATTGGTAGGGCTTTGGCCGTTGCTCTGAATGAGATGGAAAGCTCCTGGAGGGGTCTATGTGGGAGAATGATGTCAGCTCACATCTTAAAAAGTCTTATTCTGGCAGCCATCTGCTTAGACATTGGAAAAAACTAGGGAGCTTTTTGTGATCATCTAAGTAGGAAAGGAAGGAGGAAGTTGGGAGACTTTTGAAGTAATCCAGGTAAAAGATGATGGAGGAGGTGGTGAGAAGTGACCTACAGTGGATATATTCTGTAAGTAGAGACAACTCCGAAAATACTTTTGTCGATGGGTTGTATGTAGGATATGAGACAGAGAGTGGAGTCAGGGATGATTCCAACTTTTTTGCTTGAGCAAATGGAAGGATGGAGTTGCCATTACTTGAGATGGTGAAGTCAGGGAGGAGCACGTTTTAGGGGGGGAAACCAAGAACTTCGTTCTGGACATGTTGAGATATCATTAGACATCCAAGTGGAGACTTCCTAAAGGCACTGGATAAATGAGGAGAGGTCTCCTGGGCCGGAGATCGACACTTGGAAGTTGCCAACACGTAGAGAGGGGTGTTGAGAGAGAAAGTACGAAGTCCAAGGATTGAGCCCTGGGGTTCTCCCTCATCGGGGAGTGGGAGGTTTAGGAGGAGCCAGCAAAAGAGAGAGAGTGGCCATGGAGGTAAGAGGAAAACCTGGAACGCTGGCCTATTGGAAGTCAGGTGAAGAAACTCTTTCCACAATTTTGATCTGCTGATCTGTTAAATAAGATGAAGACTGAGTGTTGACTTGGATTTTGCATTGTGGAGGTCTGTGATTTGATAATGTCACCAATAGAGAGTCCCCTGAATTTTCTAAGCATCAGTTCCAACCATGTGCCACCCAAATGTAGGGGTCATTTATTAAGCTCTCTGCAATGCTCTGTGCAATCCCCACTCACTAAGGTTTGAGGTAGGAGGGCAGGTCCTTACCCACCTCCATTTCGTCCTTTAAGAGGAGGGGTTTGGGTTGAGGGTCACAGCACAGCTTTCTCTAAAAACACTTCCATAAATCTTTAAGATCCTCCCTTGCATAAAAGATCCCTTGACCCTTTTTTATACTTGATGGAAATACTTTTATTACTTGATGTAAATATTTTTTATATACTTCATGTATGATAGCTCATTCTGTAACTTTTGAACTCTTGAGGGGGTTCCAGAGCTGGGGAATGGGTTATCAGACATTCCCTATTCCTTGATGTTGTTCTGCTATAGCCACAGCCCTAGCTCCAGGAATGGATCCTGATTTGCTAGATCAGCCAGTGTGGGGTATTCTCCAGGGAATTATTGGTCCAGTTGGGCACATGACTGAAATTGGCTCAGTCAGACGGCAAAAACATACTAAAATTCCTTGGCCGGCTCACTGGATATAAACAAGGAGGATATTGCCTCCATTTCTGCTGACAATCATCTGATGACCAAAGGGGAACCAGACTTTAGATGAAGCCAATGCTGTGGACAGAAGAATAGAGAATTAGAAAGAACCTGCAACTCTGCAGACACTGTTGAGTCATTGAGTTAACTAAGCCAGACCCTGCCATACCTCTGGACAGTCCTGTTATTGGTTTAGTGAGTTGGAGTCAGGACTCTATTACTTGTAGCTGAAAGCATTCTTGTTGATTTACAACTACACAGTCTGACTCATCCCAGAAGTCAGGTTAATTTCAGATTCTCTAACTCCCTTTGTTCCCTTCTCACTTTTTCCATTGCTTTTTTTAAAAATTTAATTTTAAAAAATTGAGGTGGCATTGATTTATAACGTTGTATATTTCATGTGTACATCATTATATGTCTACTTCTGTGTACCCTGCAGCAGGCTCACCACCAAAGATTTAGTTTCCATCTGTCCCCGTATGGTTGATCCCTTTTACCATTTCACCCTCTCCCCACCCCTCTCTGGTAGCCACTACTCTGTTCTCCGTATCTACAGTTTGTGTTTGTTTTTTCCATTGCTTTAACCCTTCCATTGCTGATACTTGTGGGGCAACTTATCTATTAGACATAGTGGGCACAGTGCTTAAGGCCCTCAAAAATGTTTTAAAATTGCCCTTCCCCCTTCAGTGTTGACCCCGAACCCTCTTTTCTTTTTATGTTTTGGGGGAGGAGCCACCACATCAGCAGCCATCATCAACCAACCAGTGGGATCTACTTAGTGGTAAGTGGATTAGCTGTTTAAATGCTAAGGGTCACTGGCCTGACCACACCACAGCAAGGCCACTCAGGTTCCTGCAGAGATGGCCTCAGTTTCCACCTTTGCCCCCAAATGTTTACTTCTTGCCTGATTGAGGAGGAGGGTTTCAAGACCGCAGATTGGAGGCCATTGAGCTCTTACCCTGCCTTGCTGTGTAGATACATGATATGAAGTGGGGATGGGGGGCTAAGGGGCTCTGACTGTCAGTTGGAGATACTTAGATCAAGCCTTAATGTTTTTCTCACATCCTAGTGATAGCAGACCCTACACCAAGTGGATATCAGAGTTAATACTGTGAGGAGACAAAATAATGAGAGTAGTTTTACCAAAGATCATAAAATATCACATCATGTCTGCATTTTACCACTGATTTGAGTACATCCTTAGAAAACTGAATGTAGCAAAAACCCAGGACATTTTTAGAAATTGTATGCTCTCTAGCAACTTTGTGTGAATTTTTTTACAAGCACTGCTTTTTGTTATATAAAATGTTATAAAAATAGAAGCAAATGTTTAAAATTTTTAATTTCTCTTAAAATCAGAATTTAAAAAACAAATATAATGACAATGAATATATAATAATGAATCTAGTCTGGGTTATATTCATCTTTATGCCAAGTCAATTATAAAATATACTTTTTTTTTTTTTTTGGTGGTACGTGGGCCTCTCATTGCTGTGGCTTCTCCCGTTGTGGAGCACAGGCTCCGGACATGCAGGCTCAGTGGCCATGGCTCATGGGCCTAGTCGCTCCACAGCATGTGGGAACCTCCCGGACTGGGGCACGAACCCATGTCCCCTGCATCAGCAGGCGGACTCTCAACCACTGCGCCACCAGGGAAGCCCCCTAAAATATACTTTAAAAAAAGTTTTATTTATTTATTTGGCTGCTCTGGGTCTTAGTTGTGGTACATGGGATCTTTGTTGCCTCGTGTGGGATCTTCAGTTGCGGCATGCTGGATCCTTTTAGTTGTGACATATGGGATCTTTAGTTGTGGCATGCAGCCTCCTTTAGTTGTGGCACGTCGGATCTTTGGTTGTGACATGCAAACTCTTAGTTGCAGCACGTGGGATCTAGTTCCCTGACCAGGCATTTAACCCGGGCCTCCTGCATTGGGAGCGTGGAGTTGTAACCACTGGACCACCAGGAAGTCCCTAAAATATACTTTTTAATATATGTATTTTTGAAGCAGAAAGGGGGCCCATGAAAGCAAAAGCACTAGGACCCAAGAAAGTCGTAACATGGTTCTGATGCTTGGTTACTACACTCTCTGCTTTGGGGACTTTTGCTAATATTAGAAGGTTGCTAGATGAATAGACTTCTTCAGTGTTTATTTAATGCCTATTTTTTTTTCCAGGTACTGTGCTAGGCCTTGAAGATGTGGAGGTAAACAAGGCAAACAAGAATAGCTCCTCCCTTCACAGAATTTTTGATCTAGTAAGAAAATCGAACAACAAAACAAGTGATTATTGGAAAATATGATGGGGGGTCATTGTTGGAGGGGAAGAATAGAGTGGTGGGGCAAGAGACAAGAGGAGAATTGAATCTAGTCTAGGGGATGGGAAAAGATCTCCTGGAGGCAGTGACATGGAGGCTGAGAGTTGGAGGATGAGTTTGAAATTAATCCAAGTGTTATATTCCAGGCATAGGAAAGAGCAGGTACCAGGTAGAGAGGTGAGAGAGATACAGCATATTCAAGATGTTGAGAACGCCTAATAGTTACTGATACTTATCATGCCAGATGGTGGCCACTTTTCTAGGCATTTTGCAAGTAATAAAGCATTTAATCCTCACAGCAATCTAAGAGATATGTACTAGTATTATCACCATTTTACAGGTGAGGAAGATAGAGAAGAAGCACAGAAAATTAAAGTAACTTATTCAAGGTTATGCACCTAGTAAGTGGCAGAGCTGGGGTCGGATCCTGAGTCTGGCTCCAGGCTTAGGTTTCTCCTCTTCTTTTCAGGTATAGCTGGGAGTTAAAAAGTGAGAGAGAGAGAGAGAGTTGTCGGAGGTGAGGCAGGGGACAGCGCTGCATTGCTGGGCTGTCCTTTGCCCTCTTTTTTTTTTTTTTTTGTAGTAAGCGGGCCTCTCACTGTTGTGGCCTCTTCCGTTGCGGAGCACAGGCTCCGGACGCGCAGGCCCAGCGGCCATGGCTCACGGGCCAAGCCGCTCCGCGGCATGTGGGATCTTTCCGGACCGGGGCACGAACCCGTGTTCCCTGCATCGGCAGGCGGACTCAACCACTGCGCCACCAGGGAAGCCCCTACAATTGACATCTACTCTTCTACTCTTGTCTCTCATTCCCCAAACCCTCCAATGGCCCATCTAATCATCCTTAGAATGAAATCCTACCATTTGGCCCATAAGACCTGGCATCTTCTGGTCCCCAAAGTCCACCCTTCCAACTTCATGGCCTACTTCTGTTGGCATCTTTCATTTGCTTCTGGCCACACTATCTCCTTACTTTTCCTCCAAAATGTTTAACACATTTTTATCTCTGATCTTTGCAATCATCCTTCCCTGAGCATGAAATGTCTTCCAGATATTTACATAATTTATTCATTCTTTCCATTAAATTTTCTGCTCAAATATAACTTCTTCAGAGAGTCCTTCCCTGGTCAGTCTATATAAAATAGAACCCACGGGCTTCCCTGGTGGCGCAGTGGTTGAGAGTCCGCCTGCCGATCCAGGGGACACGGGTTCGTGCCCCGGTCCGGGAAGATCCCACATGCCGCGGAGCGGCTGGGCCCGTGAGCCATGGCTGCTGACCCTGAGCGTCCAGAGCCTGTGCCCTGCAACGGAAGAGGCCACAACAGTGAGAGGCCCGCGTACCACAAAAAAACCCAAAAACAAACAAAGAAAAAAACACTCAAAAGCTGGCTTGAAATGTTCACTGTCCAAAACCAGGTCATTTAGTGCATCAAAATATATAAGAACAGTAATAGATTATTATCTATTAAAATATGAAGAGTCTTTAGAGGTGTACAAGTAAGTAAATAAAAGAATAAAGAAACAGGAGAGAAGGGAGTATTCTTTCTTACAGTAGAATACCAACTAGTAATGAAGTTAGAAGGAATAATGGAGTTACAAAATGACCAGATTTTAACCATCACAGTGAAGTTTTATTCAGGCAAGAATCATCAATGAAAAAAAAAAAAGCATCATCAATGGATGCTACATCTAGGGAGGGAAAGTCTGAAGAGAAAGGAAGTGTTTACCCAAAGTATCCTCCACCGTTACTTATTAATTACAACAGGAAAAGTAATAACTATCGAGTCGAGAAATGAGAAAACACCTTCACAAAGCAGTCACAGTTAATATCACCAATAAAGTGTAAGTGGACATCATGTGTCTCCCGATAGGATTCCTTGAAAAGAACACAGTGCCATTCATCTAGCATTGCAGGCAAAATGCACTGAACTTATCATGAGGACACATTAAAGAAACACAAATTGAAGATTATTGTATAAAATAACTGTTTTCTTGCCAAATGCCATGTCATGAAAGACAAAGAAAGGCTGAGACATGGCAACTAAATGAAATAAGTAATCCTTCATTGGATCCTAGCCCAGACAAAAATTGTTTATAAAGGAAATTATTAGGACAATTGAGATGAAATGTGGACTACATACTAAATTCAAATTCCTTATTAAATTTCTTGATTTTAATAATTATACTATGTTTATGTAAGAGAATATCCTTGTTTATAAAGGGTAAAGGGGCATGGTGTATATAATCTACTCTTGAGTGGTTTAGAAGAAAAAATATATATGCACAAACATATTTTATATATGTACACATACACACACATATACAGAGAGAATTATAAAGCAAATTAGTAAAATATTAAAAATTGGTTAATCTAGGTATACAAGAATTTAACCATTCCTGCAAATTTTCTGTAAATTTAAAACTAAATTCTGAAATTAAAAATTTATTTTAAATGATCTGTAAATAAAAATTTTAAAATTAATTTGAAAAAAAGAAACGGGCATTGGCGTTATACTTATTTAGTTAAACTAACAGAAGTTGAGATGTGGACTCACCCAGAATTCTGCTCCTTTACGCAAGAGCCCCAGTGTGTTCCAAAAAGAGTATAGTACTCAGGTAAGATGAGAGAACTTGGAACATGGTAGGTTTACCATAAATATTATTTGTCTCCCTTAACGTCCCACTTCCATGTTTTCTTTTTTTATATAATATATTATAGTAATCACACTATATTGACAGTTTTTTCTTTTTTTAATAATTTTATATTTATTTATTTATTTGGCTGTGTTGGGTCTTAGTTGCAGCATGTGGGATCTTCATTGTGGTGTGTGGGATGTTTTTGTTGTGGTGCACGGGCTCTCGTTGTGGTGCCCAGGCTCCAGAGAGTGTGGGCCCAGTGGTTGCGGTGGGTGGGCTCTCTAGTTGTGACGTGTGGGGTCCAGAGCGTGCAGGCTCAGTAGTTGCGGCATGTGGGCTTAGTTGCCCCGCAGCATGTGGGATTTTTGTTCCCTGACCAGGGATCGAACCCATGTGCCTTGCATTGGAAGACAGATTCTTAACCACTGGACGACCAGGGAAGTCCCATGTTTTCTTTTATAAACTACTCAAAGATGGAAATTTCCAGTGCTTTAGAGTGGAAATCAGAGCCTCTAGGCTGCTTTTTTTTTAATCTTCATTTTCATATATATACATATATTTTAAAAATTTTTTTAACTTTTTTTAACTTTTTTAACTTTTTAAATTTAAAATTTTTAAAATTTTTTTTAACTTTGACCCCCTTCACCTATTTCTCTTACCTTCCACACCCGGCCTCTGGTAACTACCAATCTGCTCAATGTATCTATAAGCTTGGTTTTTGTTTTTGTTTAGATTCCACATATAAAAGAGATCATATCTATCATATTTGGCTTTCTCTGTCTGACTTATTTCACTTAGCATAATGCCCTCCAAGTCCATCCATATTTTCACAAATGGCAAGATTTCCTTCTTTGTTACAGAAAAATAATATTCCATTGTTTACATATATGTGTGTGTGTGTGTACAAATATATATCTTACATCTTCTTTATCCATTCGTTCATTGACAGACACTTAGACTGTTTCCATGTCTTGAGTATTTATTGTAAATAGTGCTGCCATGAACATTGGGGATCATATATCTTTTCAAGTTAGCATTTTTGTTTTCTTCAGATAAATACCCAGAAGTGAAATTGCTGGATCATACAGTAGTTCTATTTTTAATTTTTTGAGGACCCTCCATACTGTTTTCTATAGAAGCTGCACCAATTTACATTCCCATCAACAGGGCACAAGATTTCCCTTTTTTCTACATTCTCTCCAACATACTTGCTATTTTTTGTCATTGTGGTAATAGCCCTTCTAACAGATCTGAGGTGACATCTCATTGTGGGTTTGATTTGCTTTTCCCTTTGATTGGTGGTGTTGAGCATCTTTTCATGTACCTGTTGGCAATCTGTATGTCTTCTATAGAAAAATGTCTATTCAGATCTTCTGCCCATTTTTCAATCGGATTGTTTGTTTTTCAGGCCTCTTTTTTATGTCAGTGGCCTTTGTCTGTCACCAGTCACTACTGCTTGTACTGCTGTGCCAGCTCCAGGGTCTGGCCAGTGCCTGTCAGCCACTGGGTGGGCTTCAGATCGTGACTGGGTCATGACCAGGTGGGCAGAGTTCTCTGTCACTGGTCTAGTCCAGGTGCACAGAGCCCTGGCTCTAGTTGGTTTGCTGATGGAAGCCAGGAAACATTGATCCCAGACCTGGATCTATCACGCATCTGACCTCAGGCTTTATCATCCTCACCTGTCAAGTGACAGGTTTGGACTGGATCATCTCTAAAGGCCATGGCTTGAGGAAACAGGAAAACCTAAAACATGATTCACCCTCTTAAAGAATTCTATTACTTTCTAATTTTATCTTGGGTGTTTTATGTTCTTAGAGCATAGAGAGTTTAAATAATGTGAGTCAAAAATTAGACATGAACCCAAACCCTCACTTTCCATTTTAAATTAAATTTTTGTTCACAGAGAATAGTGGGATATTAGGAATGTAAAAGAAATCCTTCAAGTTGACAACCCACTGGGGACAAGACGGCTGAAATGTATGAGACAGAAGCCATTTCTTCTCCTTTTTGTTAAAAGTAAGTTAATGTGGTTAACTCATGACTGTTTAAGAGGGATAATTTGCTCAGAGGGAAGAAAACGTGGTCATCTTTGAATTTTTAAAGGGAAATTGTAAGGCAATGTAAGTCTGTGAGCATCTCAGCTTCTGACTGTCCCTGATCAAGCTCTTACATGCTTTGCCTTCTACCCAGACACACTTCTTCATCTCTCTGAGAAGAGTACTGTCTGATGATCTTTGTTCCCTAATAACTGTGTGCAAGAATAGATATGATTCTCCTTTCATTCAAAATATCTGCCCTGAGTTCTATTCTGTGCCAGGTGCTGTGCATGGAGGATACAAATAGAAAACACTTCCCTGGCTGCAGGGCCTTCACAGGCTTGTCAGTCCAGAAATTAGAGGCTAAAAAGTGAATCAAGCAAAGATCAAATGGGAAAGAGTGGCTTCATGCCCTAACACTACCTAACAATAAAAATCTCTCAAAGAACAACAGGTGAAAATGAAAACAAAAACACAAAGGGTACAAAAAAAATGCCAGTGACAAGAATAAAGAGATTGTTCATTTCCACTTGCAGCATGGTGACTCAAAATCAAACATGGACATTTGCATGGTGTCCATGGTCTATTGTTTTTTTTAAAAAAAAAACAACTTCAGAAAGAGTAAACCAAGTACAAATAAATTAATGAGAAACTTTAAAAGCTCTTACCTGTAAGTTATTATTACTGTCAGTCAGGGTCCCAGCAGAAAACATGGCACATTTAAATTAGGATAATTTAAGGAGCCTTTAGTAAAGAAAGAGTTTACCGAGGCCCGGGTGTGGGGAAACCATGAAGATTAGTGCAGGACCCCAGGGCTAGGAGCAGAGGAACTCCATTATTGCTTTAGGTCAAGGGTAGGGGACCATGTACAGGAACTGGGAGGTAGAGGGTCTGTCTGACGGAAGCGGACATCCCCTACATCCTTTATGCAGCTAGACTAGCCAGGAGTAACCCCACAGGGAGGGACTTCACTCTGCTTCCTCCCTCAGATCTCCTGCTGGGGTCCCCGCTGGCTGAACCCAGTGGAACCAGAAGGCGTGGAAGCAAGCTTTATCCTTACAGGTCAGCCCCCAGGGCACAGAGCAGGGCAGAGAAGGGAGGGGTGAGTTCCATCAAAAATTTTGCCATGTATTAGGGACACCTTTTCCAAATTAGTAAGGCAGTGTAATCTAAACAAAAAGGGTGTTCTGCATGTGAGAAAAACCACTTCCTTACTAACCATAAGCAGGAAGCTGTCCTGAATATTTTTTGGTATTGTGTGATCAATAACAAAGACCAGGAAAGCCTTACTAAGAAAGTCAGCCTATTCTTGGAGCAGGCTCTGCTAAATCGTGAAGGGCAAATGATGAATTTGCCTTTGTCATCCTTCCCCCTTTCTTTCAGCAATCCCCCATCTCCTTTCCTACATGGCTGTTTGTGTGTTTGTTGTTTATCAGAACTTTTTATCTTCATGGCCTTTTGCGGAAGGTGAGCATGTTTCCTGATCCACTCATCCTTTGGGGATTTTCTACAGGAAAAGATTTTGTTCTAATTTAATGGAAGAACCAGTTTCCTGAACCAGTTCCCATCCTTAATAAGCCCCCAGGAACAACAGCACAGAATCAGAGGGTTCAAACAACATCATTTGACTTCTTTTTTTTTTTTTGTGAGATAAGCACTGTTATTTTTCCCATTTTAAGGAGTGTCCACTGTCTATAACCATGCATTCTATTTTTATTTTACTTTTAAAATTTTATCAAAGTATAGTTGATTTACAATGTTGTATTAATTTCTTCTGCAGAACAAAGTGACTCAGTTATACATATATATATTCTTTTTCGTATTCTTTTCCATTATGGTTTGTCACAGGATATTGAATATAGTTCCCTGTGCTATATATACAGTAGGACACCTCGTTGTTAATCTGTCCTACATATATAGTTTGCCTCTGCTAATTTCAAACTCCAATCCTCCCCTCCTCTCTGCCTCCCTCCCCCTTAGCAACCACAAGTCTGTTCTCTATATATGTGAATCTGTTTTTGCTTTGTAGATATGTTGATTTGTGTTGTATCTTAGGTTCCACATAAAAGTGATATATGGTCTTTGTCTTTCTCTTTCTGACTTACTTCGCGTAGTATGCTCATCTCTAGGTCCATCCTTGTTGATGCAAATGGCATTATTTCATTCTTTTTGATGGTTGAGTAATATTCCATTGTATATATGTACCACATCTTTATCCATTCATCTGTTAATGGACATTTAGGTTGTTTCCATGTCTTGGCTATTGTAAACAGTGCTGCTATGAACACAGGAGTGCATGTATTTTGAATTATAATTTTGTCTGGGTATATGCCCAGGAGTGGGATTGCTAGATCATATGGTAGTTCTATTTGTAGTTTTCTGAGGAACCTCCATACTGTTTTTCATAGTGGCTGCACTGATATACATTCCCATCAACAGTGTAGGAGGGTTCCCTTTTCTCCATACCCTCTCCAGCATTTGTTATTTGTGGACTTTTTAATGATGGCCGTTCTGACTGGTGTGGTGTGGTACCTCACTGTAGTTTTGATTTTGACCACGCATTCTAAAACACCCACTATTGCTTATATATCATGGCTTAAACTAAATCTCGATTAGTTGTAATTTACCATTTGACCTCTTTACACAGCCAAAGAGGCATGGTGGACCCTGCCCCTCACACTGTGCTTCTGGCCCCATGACTTATGGGTGAGCCCAGAGGCCGACCCAGGAGTCTTTCTCCACTGGAAACAGTAGAAAGACTCAGCACGGAGTGACTGAAGGATGGAAGAAGATCTCAGTGGATCAGGTTGCCTCATTTTGAAAGTTGGGTAAAGCATGTTGCCCAGTAACACAATCTTTGTGCACAAGACACAAGAGAAAAGCTATTCTGCTACCTGAGTCCAGTGACAGGCAACTGGTAAATAAATGCCGGGTGTACTGGTCAGGCCTGGCTTTGCATCCTGGCTCAGCCACAAACTGTGTGATTTATGCCTCCATTTTCCACTCTAAAATACGGCTGATAATAACATTTACCAGCTCAGGTGATGGTGAGGATTACCAGCCAATGCATGTAAGGTGCCAGTGCCTGAGGTGCAGTCATCTCTCCACAAATGATGGCTATGAGGATGATAATCAAGATAATTCAATCCACCAAAGTATCGAGTCAGATCCAAGTCCAGGTTATTTTAAAGCTCAGGCATGTTTCCCATTTGCTCTCTTGCTTCTATTCTCAGGCTGCTACCCAGGCCAGGCTTAGATCTCTCTCTCTGCTTAACTGATCTTCCCGCTTCTAGGCTTGTCCCCTCTTACCTTTCCGTCACTCTGCAGCCTCAGATTCTTTGTCCTCACCCCTTCCCACCTATCACGTCTCTCCATTTAGTTCTACTTCTCCATCTTTCAAACCACTCTTCTAGGTCTTTTTCTTGCTTGCTTGCTTGTGAGATACAGCAGGCATGCAAAAATAATGTACAAACTCTGTACCCAGTTTAAGGAATGATCATAAACTACTCAACAACACTGTTGCTCTCCAGAACCCTCTCCACTCCTGTGTGCCCTTCCTTGGTTACAAAACCAACCCTCTCTCCAAGAAGTAACCACTATCCTGATTTCTGTGATAATGGTTTTGCTTTTCTTTTTAGTTGTACCACCTATGTATGATGAATCACTAGACGATATATCTCACTTTAGTGAATCCAAGAAGTTCTCTTTTTTTATATTTGAGCATGTCTGAAGTGGAGACATGCTTCTGATGATGGCTTGTCAAGGTTTCATTGGCAGCACGTTTTTTCTTTCCTAGAAGAAGTATAAAATATAAATACAATAATATAAAATAATGGTGTGTTTTACAATTAGTGGCACCCTAGAGCTGATGTAGACTAGTTGTGCTTGCTTTTGAACCATAGGAATGAAATTATACTGCACGTGTTCTTTGACCTCTGTCATTTTTCTTTTTTGGATCAGCAGGGTGCTTGTGAGACTCTTTCACTGTTACTGCAAGCAGTTGTAGCTTGTTCATGTTGTCTACTACAAACAACAACGCTGCCATGAACAGTCTTGTGCCAGTGCCCTGGGCTCACAGGGGTTGCAACACTAGGAAAAGGCACCATAATTTCTCTCTCAACCACTGCATTTTTTTTTGTTTCTTTTTTTGGCTGCCCTGCACCGCTTGAGGGGATCTTAGTTCCCTGACCAGGGATTGAACTCAGGCCATGGCAGTGAAAGTGCAGAGTCCTAACCACTGGACCGCCAGGGAATTCCCTCAACTACTGCAGTATTATCCAGACATGAGCTTAACATTGATCCCAGCTAGAGCAGTGTGTTTGAAACACAAATCTGATCATCTTATTCTCCTGCTTAGAACGTTTTAATGGTTTCCCACTGTTCTCAGACTAAAGATTGACATCTCTGATACAGCTTTCAAGCCCTCCAAACCCAGTGCCAGCTCCCACCATCATTCTTCTACATTTTTCCTCTATGCTCTACAGCTACAGCGGTCTTCTTTCAGTTTTTTAAACAAGCCTCCCCCAGGCCACTCCTACCCACCCCACCCCCCAGCTGGTTAAGTCCACCCATCCATCAATCTAAGCTCTTGCCTCAACTCTTCAAATAAGCATAGGTCATGACCCTTTACTGTGTCTCCTCGGAGAACTCTCTTCCTTTTAGAATACGTATTAGATAGGACATGGATCTGCTGGTGCAACAGAGACTCTGGTGACATTAATGTGATAGAAGTTTATTTTTCGCTCAAAATACACTGTGTGCCTGGAGCTGAGGACTTGTCTGGAGGCTCTGTTCTGTCGGGAGCCCAGGATCCTTCTGCCTTGTTGCGTTGACATCTCTAGATTGTTGCTTACCAGCCTGCTCTAAGATGATTCACCACCATCTCGCATTCCAGCCGGTGGAAGGGAGAAGGAGGGAAGGGAGGGCACAATCACTCCTTTTAAGTGTATGACTCAGGAGTTCCAATGATTACTTTTACTCACCTCTTACTGATCAGAAGTTGGTCACGTGGCCACACCTAGCTGTAAGGGAAGCTGGGAAAAGTAGCCTTTATTTTGGTTGCCATATGCCTGGCAGTGAACCTGGAGATCTGTTCCTATAGATGGAGTGAATGGATATGGGGACACCTAGTGGTCCCGGTGGCATAACACCCAACCCTGACTGCATTAATTAGTCAGGGTTAATGTATACACTACATTAATTAGTGTAATTACTTGATTGATGTCCATCTATCCCACCAGACTGTAATCTCTACAAGAGCAGGGACCATATCTATTTTTGCTGACCATTGTGTCCTCATCATCTATCCCCATGCCCGACACAGAGTACGACCTTAATAAATATTTGTTGAATGCATGCATCAATGAAGAGATTGGGTCTCTGACTACCTCTTGTTATTTCTGGTGTCACACTTGATACTCCAGCCAGACCAAACCACTTGTGGTTGCCTTAATTCATTCTCTATTAAAAAAAAATTTTTTTTTTTTTTGCTAATCTGAAAAGCAAAAATAGTCACCTCACTGTTTAACTTTCTTTGAATTTTGAGATTACACACATTTTTCACATATTTCCATTAATACTTCTTGTTTTGAGATTTGATATGACCAATTCTAACAACATCCTTTGAAGTACACTAAGAGCTCAACACAGTAGATTTTAGTCAAAGTTAGGCAGCATACTCAGGCACCTGCTTAATGAGGAGTAAAATATAATAATGCTTGGATTAGGGCTTTCGTGCAATTCTACCTGAACGATCTTTCTTAAACCTGAGCTTTCCACAAGAGTTGAGAAGCAAAGAGTTAAAGGTTACATTCCCTGTTTAGAACCTGGAGGGTTGGCGTGATGTTGTGATTTATAATAAGAAATCTGTATTTGGTCTTCCTCTCATTTCTGGCACAGAGCTCCTAAAATCCTTGGCATTTCCTACGTGTTAAGAGCAATTAAGGTGCCTTGATAGATACGCATAACAAACCCCTTTCAACCACACCTGAGTTTATGTTAATGAGGTGACTTTTGGAAAGGATCTAAGGTTAGGGGCTTGTTGCCAGGGGAATGTGATTGGAGGGTTGGACATTTCAGTCCCACCCCCTGACCTCCGGAGAGGGGCTGGAGGTTGGCCAATGGCCAATGATTTAATCAATCACGCCTGCATAAAGTAGCCGCCATAAAAACGCCGAAGGAAGGGGTTCAGAGAGCTTCCAGGTTGGTGAACGTAGCTACATTCCGGGCCTTACACTCCACGGGGACAGAAGCTCTTGCACTGGGGACCTCACCCTACGTATCTCTTCATCTGGCTGTTCATTCGTATCCTTTAATATCCTTTGTTATAAGCTGTTAATCTAGTAAGTAGACTGGTTTCCTGAGTTCCGTGGGTCATTCTAGCAAATCAATCAAACCTGAGGTGGAGCTTGTGGGAATTTTCAATTTACAGCCAGTTAATCAGAAGCACACATAACAAGCTGGACGTACGACTGGCATTTGAAGCGGGTGAGTCTGGTGGGACTTGGCTACTAACCTGTGGCATCTGAGGCTATCTCCAGGTAGATGGTGTCAGAATTGAGTTAAATCGGTGGGACACCTGGTAAGTGTCCTCTGAGAATTAAGTTAATTTCCTGATGGTGTGGAAGAAAACACACCCATTGGAGATGGTGTTTTAAATTGCTCTTTAAGGTCATATCCATGAATTTCAGCAGTCAGTAAAGATTAACGTTGTATTGATAACTGAATAAGTCTGATTAAGGCACGGTGGGAAGGATGGCCAGCTCGCCCACAATTACCCAACCACACCACCGACTACCAGATATTTTCCTTTTTTAAGAGACAATAGGAGTATAGACACACAGGGATTGGAAAGGGTGGGATTAGAGCACCAGAGGGAAACTGTCCTTGAAAACGAGAGAAGCGCGAAAGGGCTGCAGATCCAGCCACTGGTCGAGTTCGCACTTGGCATGAGGACCTATTCAGGTCACAGCAGCAGTGATTACCAAAGGAGACAGACAAAAGACAAGTACAAGAAAGAGCTGAAACCCCTAGCTCTGTGCTGACTGCTTTCGCGTCTGCATGTCTCCGGCAGTCCGTATGCGGGCGGCCGCCATGATGCTGTGTCAGTTCCAGGCCACAGCCACCAGCCGCTGCAGCGCAAAAATAGAGGAGAAGGCCGGCTTGGAGCTGGAATGGGGAGGTCGGCTCTTCCGGTGGTCAGCAGGCTTTTTGCCTGACGCTGATTCTCCCAGCTCTCTGGGTGATCTCACCACTTAGGGGGAGGCGGGAGTTCATGTCAGCAGAGTGGAACAGACTCCTTGTCCCTTCAAAGTTGAGAATGCTACTTTCTAGACCCTTCCATATCTCCATATAAATAAACCAAGCCTGGAGAGTCTCCAAGTCACCTCTGTTAAACAAGACAGAATTTAAGCTTCTCCTAAGAGCTTTCTGGTAACCTGATTTCCATTCCGGTGAAGAAGTAAAGGTACGCCCACCAGTGTGGTGGTGACAAAGCACAAAAAATATGAGAAGCTGCCTGTGGACACGTGTTCCAGTGGTTACATCACGCACATGGTTTTCCTGTTTCTTAGTAAAATAGATACGAATACTGTCACATTGAAAATTCACAAAGTTCCACGTGTTTGGTTTCATCCTCACCTTCTTTGTTTTTTTTCTTTTTTTATAAATTTATTTATTTATTTTTGGCTGTGTTGGGTCTTAGTTGCTGCGTGTGGGCTTTCTCTAGTTGCGGTGAGCGGGGGCTACTCTTCGTTGCGGTGCGTGGACGTCTCACTGCGGCGGCTTCTCTTGTTTTGGAGCACCGGCTCTACGCGTGCAGGCTTCAGTAGTTGTGGCACACGGGCTCAGTAGTTGTGCCTCACGGGCTCTAGAGCGCAGGCTCAGTAGTTGTGGCACACGGGCTTAGTAGCTACGCGGTATGTGGGATCTTCCAGGACCAGGGCTCGAACCCGTGTCCCTTGCATTGGCAGGCTGATTCTTAACCACTGTGCCACCAGGGAAGTCCCCTCACCTTCTTTGTTGATGAAGTAAAGTAAGAATTTTCTATCCAAAAAAAAAAAAAAAAAAAGATAATAAGAGTATAAAAAATATGAAAGACTTTAATATGGACACAATGAAGCTATAGGAAAAAAATGGAAATATGTGATGGTGGTGGGATTTAGGTTTTATTATCGTTATTTTAACATTTTTTAAAATATTGTTGCTAATGACGCTAAATCACAGCACCATCACCATCTCCAAAACATAATCACCACCACCAGTTCTGTTAGCAATGTCCTTTTAAAAATACACAAGACCTGGGAATTCCCTGGCAGTCCAGTGGTTGGGACTTGGGCGTTTTCACTGCTGGGGCATGGGTTCAATCCCTGGCTGGGGAACTGAGATCCCGCAGGCCACGTGGTGCGGCCAAAAAAGAAAAAATACACAAGATCTATAAGATATTATGGGTAATAGAGAAAAGGAGAGGGTCTGTTCTAAATATAAGCATGAATGTGGCCAGTGTGCGGAAGACACATTTTCCTGTATAAGATTCAATTATAATTCTGAAAGCCAAGAGAGGAAGCAATAATTCCAGGGAAAGGAAGTAAAGGGCTTCTATTTCCTTAGTGTTCATGAGCAGGCATTGACATTACTGCTAATGAGAACAGCATGCTTTCAGACATAAAGTACGTGCATGCGTGCCAAGCTTCTGTGTGCAGATACCCAGCACAACTCCAGCAGTCTTTGCTCCTGAGCCCCACTGAGACCTCTTAAAAAATTCTTCAGTGACTGCTCAGAAACGCATTTGACTATAGATGCCCCAGTGCACGCATATTTCCCGCTCGTCATGTCGTTTAGGAAGCTTCTCCCTCGTAATGCCAGAATCTGCAGCAGTGTTCAATTTTACTCACTTCTCAATTCAAATGCCTGAGTTTTTCAAGTTCAACTACTGTCTGAGTAAAATTTACTCATACAGCTGTTTAGAGAGGCTGAATGTGCAGAAAAAGAAAAAGAAAATGACTTGGTAATATAGTTGGGGAGAGAAGATTATTTCAGAGCAGGGAAGGAGATTTGGGTAGAAGGACAATTTTGACCAGTTGGAGGATACCACGTGAACATGTACATGTGAGTGTGTGTGTGTGGGGGGGCAGACAAGAGGGGCTAAGAAAAGAAAGTAGACTTGTGACGTAACTGCCTCTATTACAATTTTATAAAAGCACTGGTGGCAGCCCTGCATAAGCAGATGTATCTGGAAGGCGGTAACTAGCTTCCTCCAATTTAGCCCAGTTTGCCCTGACTAGGCTGATGGATTTCTGACCCTTCCTTTCCTGGTCTGATGGAGGCCTACCCCTCTGGTATTGGAAGGGACAAGGGCAAAAAAGACAAAGGAAGGGGCAAATGCTCAGAACTTACAGGCAGTGGCACCTGGAAACCAGGAACCCCTTTGGGGACATAGTTGAAGCTTCAAGCCCAGCTACAGAAGGAAAGAGTGGTTGGTCGTAGCAGGGGCTCCAGATGCTACTAGAAACGCACCTAGAAAGTGAGGCACCTGGGAATGATGGGAACTTCATTCATAGGATACTTACTTCTCTGACATCAATTGCATCAATAAGAGGGGTTGCAAATTCAGATCCCAGATCAGACCAGATAGAGCCTGCTGCGTGTAAGATAACGGGGAGGGGTGTGATTATGGCGAATAGAAGCACTTGAGGACATTGTAAATTTACTGTAGGGAGATGTAGAGAACAAACGTATGGACACCAAGGGGGTGAGTGAGGGGGTGGTGCTGGGATGAACTGGGAGATTGGGATTGATATGTATACGCTAATAGGTATAAAATAGATAACTAATAAGAACCTGCTGTATTAAAAAAAAATTTACTGTAGGGGAACAAAATTTGCCACCCCAAAATGTCTCTTTGATATGCAGATTGTTTCAGGCTGAAAACAATCAAATTCCAAAGAACTCAAGAAGAAACTTTGACCTTCCCCCTAACTGCCTGAAAAATGTGGATAGAGGACCTGTTCCAGGAAGGGAACCATCACCATAGATAACTATACAGATGACCTAGGTGTGTAGACGGGGAGGAATCTAGCAAAGTCTGTTTGTTAAAATTCCTCTCTGTGTCCCACTGTCCCTGCATATTCCGGAAAACATTTGTTTACCAAGCATTTGCTTTTTCATCTCCATGTCAGTTGCCTTTCTCCCCTTCAAGTTCCCAAACCACTATCCCCAACATCCTCTTTTGTCTTTAGCTGAAAACAGTATTTAAAGTGAGGTTTCAGCCATTTTGGTGAGTTACTCAGTTTTCCTGGGTCTCTCACATGTATACATGTTGTTAAACTTTTGTGTGATTTTTCTCTTGTTAATCTGTCTCATGTCAATGTAACTCTCAGACCAGCCAGAAAAACCTAGAAGAGTAGAGGAAAATTTCTTCCTCCCCGACATCATCATATGAGAATCCCGGCCCAAATTATTCAGATCTTCTGATATTTCAGGAGAAAGTATAAATTTGAATTTTTATACAAAAAATTTAATCACAGAATGTTGGCAATTGATTTTAAAAGTTTAAAAGTACCATGTGAGACAGACGTTGCTGTACCTGCCAAACCACATGTGCACATCCCACAGCCCCTGAAACTCAATATGCCAAAAATGGAACTCATTAGTCTCTGTTCCCCATTTCAGTGAATGCTTTCACTGACTGCCAGTAGCTCAAGCTAGAAAGATGGGCATCAGCCCTGATTCCTCCCTCCCCCTCACTCCTTACATCCAACTGGTGACCTAGCTATGTATATTCAACTTCTGAAATCTCACTTATATTTGTCCCCTAACCTACTCTCACTGACTTTGTTTAGGTTTTCACAATTTCTTTCCTGGCCTAATCCATTTCTCAGCCTTTAGTCTCATCCATTTCTTTTTTTAAATGAAGATTAAAAAAAAATTTTATTTTGGCTGCACCGGGTCTTAGTTGTGGCACGCAGGATCTTTGTTGCAGCAAGCGGACTTCTTAGTTGCAGCATGCGTGCGGGCTCTAGTTCCCTGACCAGGGATTGAACCTGGGCCCCTGGCATAAGGAACGTGGAGTCTTACCCACTGGACACACCAGGGAAGTCCCTAGTCTCATCTGGGAAGTCCCTAGTCTCAACCATTTCTAATCCTCTAGTGACCTATCTAAAATAAAAAAATTGAAGCAAGTTATTGCTTTGTGCAAAAAATTCCATCTTCCCTACTCCCTGTTGGGTAGAGTCAGTGTCCCCTGCATCGGCAAGCAGACTCTCAACCACTGCGCCACCAGGGAAGCCCTCAAGTTAATGATTTTAGTGCTTTTCCATGTATGGGAAGATGTAAGAGTTGGGCTCCTTGAAATTATTCCTTTGATATGCATCTTAACTATCTAGGGCCAGCGTCCTGTTCTCTGGCCTGAATTTCCCTCAGGACACGCAGCTGTGGGAGACTGTAGTGGCTGATGGCTTGATGTTGGGCAAATTTCATTGTTTACACCTTCCTCCTCCTGTTTCATGCTCAGATGCTGACCGGCCTGCAGTTCCTCTAAGGGTCGAGCTGTTTCATTCCTCTCTACCTTTGCTCTCACTGCTCCTATTATCTAGGATGAATGCCCTTGCCTTTCTGTACCAGGATGTGTTCAGTTCTAAGTAACACAAAACCCAATTCAAACTGGCTTAAATGATAAAGTAGGTTCATTGACCTATGCAAATAGTAGGGTAAGCTTCAGGGTTGGTCTGATCTAGTGGCTCAGTGATGTCACCAAGGACCCAGATTCCTCTTTTCCATCTTCTGTTGCCATGTCTTCATCTTAAGGCTAGCGTTACAAGACAGCTGCTGACAACGCCTGGGCTACCTGCCTCTTTGGCCACATCTTTAAGAGGGGTAGTGGTAGAGGAGAGAAGAAAATGAGGTAAACATATTTTAAAATCTTTGATCTGTACAATTAAGATATGTGCCTTTTATAATATCTAAGTTATAGCAATAAAGCATTTTTTAAAATTCTACATTACTCATCGATACATTCTTTTTTTTTTTTTGCTGTACGCGGGCCTCTCACTGCTGTGGCCTCTCCCGCTGCAGAGCACAGGCTCCGGACGCGCAGGCTCAGCAACCATGGCCAACGGGCCCAGCCGCTCCGCGGCATGCGGGACGCTCCCGAACCGGGGCACGAACCCGCGTCCCCTGCACCGGCAGGCGGACTCTCAACCACTGCGCCACCAGGGAAGCCCATCGATACATTCTTAATTGGATCTGTGTCTGTGTTTTTGATTAGACACTTCTGAGGCTGAGCAGATGTAGCCTAATAAGACACAGTTACATGTGAATATTATATATAAGTAATCATAATAAAATTACCTTTGCAGGCTTATCTCTAGCACTTCCCAGCATATACATTCCATTCCAGCCAAATTGGATTACTCATTCTTCCTTGAACATCCTGCCCTCACTTCTTTATCTTTGCTCATATTCTCTTTATATTAATTTTTCATAAGTTAAATCACATTTTAAATGAACCCAAAAAGCTTCCTTTTGAAAGAAATCAACTTGTTAGACCTTTTGCAAAATGAAAAATCTCAAATTCTCACTATACCATTTATTTTTTGGAAAAACCCAGATTTTCATATATTGAGCTTGTACAAAATGAAAATCTGGTTATCCAGAAATGTTCACAAATAATAGCTAGTAAAAGTT